TGTGTGTGTATATATATATAAAAATAAATAAAAGATTGCTTTAACATGCTCTGGTCAAGTCTGCTGTTATTTCAACCCTTTTGCTCCATGTTGGGCACCAAAAGACTGACGTGGTTTAACCAGGAAAGGTCGCTGCCCACCACAGCCCCCCACCCTCCGGTGGGATGGGGAGGAGAAAATATAAACAGGGGCTCAGGGCTGAGACATGAGCAGTTTACTGGGATAGTGAGGGAGAAACAACACCAAACAACAACAACAGTACTAATGAAAGAGTATCCAATATAAGGAGGTGATAAATGAAAACGGCTCACCACAAGACCAACTCATGAACTACAGCACCCAGCAACCCCCTCTTCTTGGAACTTCCCTGTTTAAATACTGAGCAGATGTCAGGTGGTATGGAATACCAATGTCCCTCCCCTGGTCTGGAACACCTGCTCTGGCCCCCAGACCAGCTGCCCCATCCCAGTTCCCTGAGAACAATTAACTCTATCCTAACCAAACCCAGGATAGAAGGGGAGACAGTGAGCTCCAAGAGCAGCTACCAGGCAGGAATAACCCATGAGCTCCATGCCTAGGGACATAAATAGGCCGTGCTGATCAGTTTCAGCATGAGCCAGCAGAGTCCTTAACTTTGTCCTGCTGCCAAGAATTCACAGGATCAAGCAGCCCTTGTGCCAGCACGGTCCTTATTCAGTCCTAGGATGTAGCCACAGCATGGAAGGCACCCTGTAAGAGCTTTTGAAGCTCACAAATCTCACTTGCCTTGTAGCATATTCCTAATAACAAAGGAAGCTGCACACAGAGTGCTGGTGGTGCAGCAGATTGTTCCCTACCACCTCCTTGAACGGCCAAAGAACGGCTTTAGCGTGCATCCCTTGCGAGTCGCCTGCCTACCTTACTGCTGACTCTCCAGGGGTAGTAAACTCAAAAGACACCAGCCTCAGGCTGGCTTGCCACCTTAAGTTATTACAGGTTTTGCAGAAGTAGTTGGAAAACAGAAAAACTACTAGGAAAATAAAATACAAACCTCAGTTTTAGCTCATGGTTAGTAGAAGATAGTTATTTTAGAGCATCTCAACTAACATCCTTAGGGAAGGGAAACAACCAGGGAAGAGAGGGCCCAATTTTTTTTGCATGACAACCTTATTCTCTGATAACTAACATGAAGTTCTGGGTGGAAAAGTAAGTGGGAAGGGATGCAGGAAAAAAATTGGGAGTCCTAAAGTTAGATAGAATAAATTAGATTGCTTCCTCTATTCCTGCAATTTAGGAGAATCTGGCTGGCCATTTGTCAGCAACATTCAGTGCCACTCAGAACTGATAGCAACTCGTTTGGTTTTTGGTTTTGGGGGTTTTTTTGTTGTTTTGGTTTTTTTTCCCATTAGATATGTCACTTCCTCCCTGACAAGTTTTAAAAGGAAAAAAGTGGGTAAAGAAACTCCCAGACTTACTAAGGGCAGAGCATTCTGCTGATCTTTGCTTGGCTGTGCAGTAATAGCCGGAAAGATCTTGCTTCAGCAAGAACAGCAAAATGGGGAGATGAATTCCACTTGTTAATGCTTTTGTTAATATCACTCCGTTAACTTTGCGATACAGGCTCTTGCTTCACTGAATCTTGAGAATTGTTGGCTCCAGCAACACTAATGGCATCGTGCATTAACTGTGTTACATAAAGCAAAAATCAACATATACTGCTCCATTGGGTGCTTCTAAACATGCAGCAGTGTCTCATGCTGCAAAAAGTACCTTACAGATCTTTCATACTTCCCACAACAAAAACGCCCATGTCTGCATCGAGACAGTGGTGTCATTTACTCTTTCAGGTGTAAGTCAAAAAGAATAGCAAGTGATAGTGTCTGTCATTGGGAGGTAGAGGAGTTCTCATAGTAGGTTCAAGGGCAGGAGCCCCCTTTGTTTTTCCTTTTTTTTTTAAAAAAAAACCTCCTGTGGGTAAAGGAGTTTGCAGTTGCCCATCATTCAGGCTGTTTTTTGACAGATTTCTCAGAATCCTTTTCCATTTACTGGCAGCCAAGGAATGCAGCACATACAGGTCCCAGTAAATCCTCCCTGAAGCTGACAGTTGTATGCTGAATAACGTTGAGGTACGTGCTAGCTCAGGGGAACACAATTAACTTTGTTTTTCCTTTTTTTTTTTGTTTTTTTTTTGTTTGTTTGGTTGTTTTTTTTCTCTCCTGCAGCTCAGCAGATCTGAAGTTTACAAAGCAGTTACAGCAAGCAGAAAAAAAAGGACAGAAAATGACAACTGGCAATCAACAGCAGAGGCTAGGGGTGAATAAAGAAGTGCTTATAGCAACCATAAAACAGAGAAACTGCGAGCAGGCCTGGGAGCAACGACAGACAGGACAGCAAAGGGACATTTATTGTCATCTCTGCTTCAAAAGGAGATCAGAGTCCCCCAGCCCTCCTTTATTATTGATTGGGAATATAGATGGACACAGGATGGTCTCTGTGATCTTCCTTTCAGTACTGCTGTGTGCAGAAATTACAGGAGTACGGACAGATGAATTAAGAGAGAAAAGAGCAGCTGTCTCCTTGTGTGCAGGGAAGATTACAAGACATATATGACTCGCTCAGGAGTGTGACATTTAAGCCAACAACGTTACTGTGATTTTATTATCCTGATAGGTTTGGTTTTGTTTTTTTTTTCCTCTTTAAGTCACTGATGGTCATGCATCTAGAAAAGTTTGGCACCAAGACCAGAAAGGGAGTACAAGTTCATAAATGTACGTCTGGTGCTGGAGACTGCTGGAGATCACTCAAGTAAACAGAACTCCTTTCCAAAGCTGCTATGAGGAGACTTCTGGAGAATTATCAGTCGGAAGGTTAAACAGATACTCAGCAATTGCTTTCATGTCATTTAATCCTACAACAACCCAATTCCTATCAAGTTTGCAAGAAGACTGTTCATAATTCATATGGTGGGGAATAAATAAAAATAAACCTGTGTTATCCCAACCTCCGCATCTCCTACTCTGTTTCTTTACACGTGTCTTATTCTTGTTTCACTCTGGCTTAAAAAAACCCCAAACAAACAAACAAACAAAAACCCAACACTAAACTTATTGTTAGCATAATAAAAAAATGGGATTGAAACATATCTGATGTCAAATGAGTGAGCACGAATAGTGAAAATAGTAACAGCTCGGTTCCAAGAAGCAGCATGAGAGGGACGAAGAGTAAGAAGAATTTAAACAGCTGTATACAAATCTAAACTCTTTAAAAAATCCTTTTTATTGATTCATTACCATACAAAATTTATTCAAATTACATCCATTTGAAGTGGTAAGATCACAGCTAGAGAACAGGTCATCCTTTAATAAATCTATTTACAAAACTCGCCATAAAAGCTTTTTTTTGTTGGTTTTGTTTTTTGTTGGGATTTTTTTTTTTTTACAGTATTTTACAGAGGGTTTTTTTTTAAACTAACATACAATGCAAAGCTGAATTAGATTAGTATTTTGCCCACGCACACTGGGACAAGTGTTTAATTTGTACAAAAAAAAAGATGGTCTGCGTTAGTCTTCATTTCCTCTTCCCCCGCAAAAGTGCCCCTTTGTCTCACTAATCTTCATGCTCACACAACTTTTACTCTCCTCTTCCACAAGACGAAAACTTTAAATACTACAATTTTATTTACAGATCCACATCTAAAAAAACCTCTTAAAAAATTACAAACCAGCTAGAAAATATTCTGGCAGTGTTTACAAATTAATTCTATTGTACAAAACTGCTAGATAACTAAAGCGTGAGTTGAGAACATACATCAACTTAAATACAACTGCTGAAGGATCTATGCACACTTCTGTACATATAAACACACACTTAACACTGTTTAACAGTTCTTTATGTGTTGCCCTTTATACATTTGTTATATTCCAAAACTCACACAGTCATACAGTTTTCTTATTAGTACTGTGACTTCTTGCCTTTTCATGTGTGAGCTTTCATAGCAGCAACTCAATGGTACCAGAGAACCTGCATACGTAATATTCTACTACAGTACAAACAGTACTATTTTTCTGAGTATGCCAGATAAGCACAACAGTAATGCAAACAAAAGGATTATACGGGCATCATCTAATCAACATTACATTAATTTAGCCCAGAACATGGCAACATATTTTACACACACACACAAAAAAAAAAATTAAAAAAAAATTAAGACTTCTTAGAATTCCTCTCATGTTCAAAAAATAAATATTGGTACTATACTACCAAAAGATCTTCAAAAAATAAATGCAATTCAGTTGATGTGGTACTTACACTTATGTACTTTGGAAAAAAATTAGTTCCATTTTGCTGGCGAAGAGAATTATAAAAAGCTGTAAGCAGAGGAAGCGAACCCACTGAGATAAATATGATCTATTGAACAAACAGAGCTTGGCATAAGTGTTTTCCATAGAGGGAAAAACCCACAGTGCATCTCTAGTAGGCACTTGACACAAAGCCCCACTCAGTACCACAAAAATTTATGTACCAGTTCTAATGCACACTGGGGGCAGTAAAATTGAACTGTGCATCTTCGTTCTAGTTTAAAAAAACAACCAACAAGAACTACTTTCACACACACACACAAGCTTTTTTTTAAAAAAAATCTGTGATTACTACGAGAAGTGGCAGAACTTTATACTTTTCAATATTTGCAATATACACTACATTTACAGTGTATTTTTTTATTAAAAACTTTTAAGGACTTAAGTATTTGACCTCATAATGAGACACATACACAGCTCAAAATGAGCATTATGACAGCAATTTCCACATTCCCACGAGTAGCTCAAGAATCCCATTTCACGCTTTTGCATTACTTCATATTTCTGTTCACTGCAGGTACAATCCATGTTGGGACACTCAAAGAGACATGCATTCTCTGCAGAAGGCACGACCTGAAATACTATTATAAAATTGTTATTTAGGACTAAACCAGTTCATTGAGCCCTTCTCCGTAAGCCCACTTGTCACGGTAAGCAGAGACTGGGGGAGTGTGAAGACAGAACATTTCTGGTCACCTGCTTGCAGTTGCTGACTTACAAGGCGCTGGAGCTCAGGGTCAAGGAGAAGGTCTTGCTGTGCAAGCCTTCACTTGTTGTTTATGGTATTCTAGGGAGTATTTCATTAAAATATCAGCACTGTTCGAGAGCCTAGTTTATTTAATAATGCTATTTTATAGTAAGTAGGGGACAACTCTGTATGATGGCAGGTTTTTTGATTCCATTAAAATAATGATTTAGATATGGACAGCATTTAAGAGAATCAGCTGTATATAAATTCATCCACCAGTGAAGGAAGCTTCTCTAAATCATAAGCATCAAAGAGGTCACTGATGCCTTCTTCATCCCCAAGGCTCAGCAAATAATCTTCCTGAAGCAGAGGAGGCAGCAAATTCACAAATGGTCCTTCAAAGTTTGAGGGAATTTGGTCCTCAGTCTGCTGGAGAAGGTTGGCTGGAGAAGCCAATGGAGAGATTGTTGCCATATTTACTGAGCAGTCACCTTGTCCTGAGTTAGCAGAAGCCACTTCTGTAAGAGGAGGGAGAGAAAAAAAATAAAGATGACATTTAATCTCATCAGAAATATCAGACACAGATCGAACAAAGTGACCACTGCATAAAGCATCAAAAAATGGCCCCCTTCAGAATTTCTTGCTTGTTTTTGATATGTTACAAAGAGCTGCTCAAAAATACACGTTGCTGTCACCACTGACTTTTCTACTTATAGAATATTTTAAAAGGCTTAAACAACAACTAGGGAAAAAAAAACAAACCTACAGTCAAGTGTAGTGAGAGATGCCCGTTTTTCAGTGGAATTCATACTCAAAACTGCCTGGGCCACAGATGTCACCAGTGACACTGCAGTAGCTGCACCTACCCAGCCACAGAGATTTCTGTCTTGTGTTGAGGCAAAACTTTGCTGCTACTGTCCTATTTGAAAACGCAAAAGGAACAAAATTGTTTCTTTCTTCAATATTGCACCGACTTAGGTTACATAGATCCATGTGATATGCAAATATGTTTAAGATAAAAACATCTGACGCAGAAGAGAACATATTTCAACCTATAAAAACCAGAAAGGCACAGTGGAAAATGGATACTTTAGCTTTTAACTTCTTAGAAAAAGAAAGCCAAGCAAGAAGAGCTGGATAGCTGAAATTCAAAATGAAATCTTGAATGAGATGACAAAGGAAGGCCATTAGTATAACAAATAAATATTTTTACCTTTGGAAATGGTTTTGGAAATGTTTCCGTTGTGGTCCTGACTATAGGTTTTCATTGGACTGAGAGCATCGTTTTCCTCTGGGCACAGATAAACTTCAATAGGTCCTTGAGTACTAGACAAGTGTATCAATGCACTCTGCTAATAAAACAAACGTCAGCAGGGGGTTACACCAACGAACACGACAGAATATCGACGATAGGGAGTACGTGCTTCTTGGGGTGTGAGTGTTTGAACACATTTTTTACTAAACAAAAGAACCTGAAATCCCCCATGCTTTTTTGTTTTGTTTTGTTTTTCTTTTAAGATGTGAGGATGTCTAAGATACATCAGACTGGCTGATGTCTTACAGACTAGAGGAGAACATAAAAGCTTTTCCCACTGTCTGTAGATGCAGAAATCTCAGACACTCACCATTTTATGTCTTTTATCACAACCAGAGAGGTACAAAGGATTGAACTCCTAACATTTTCTTACAACCATAATAACCTGGAGCGTTCTGATGCAATGGAATTATGGGATGCAAGTTAGAGGTTTTGTTATTTTTCATAACAGTATTATTGGATGTATTTGTGCAAATGTTTCTGCTTTAAAGGAATGTCAAAACATCCTTCTCACTCACCAACAACCTTCAGCACTAATTCACACTGAACTCAAACAGCTGTATGTGAGTTCCCTTGTTTAACACAGAGGTTTTTCCAAATAACAAAAAAAAAAAAGATGCCATTTTCTTCACCCAAACTTGTTTATATAAGTCATTCTGCCCCCTCAAGGCAGCAACTCTAATTTTCATGGTGTTTCTGCGTAACAGGAACTCCTAATTCATCTCAAGAAATTATCTTTTGTTAACTTTCACACACTGATGCAATATGACAGGATGACATCTATAAACAGATAGAAAATCTGCAAAGTTACTCTGAGTGTTATGATAGAAAAATCATAAATTATTCCAGTTAAAAATAAACCTGCTTCAGCTGTACTGCATTGATAGTGACAGGCATTATACACCTCTTTGCAGACTTCTTTTAGATACATTTTATTGTGCCCTTTGACAAAAAGTTCCTCACATTATTTGCATTATGACAGTTATGTAGCATAATAAGACAGCATTTACAAATACAGAGGACAACAACTGAATGGAGATACCCAGGGCACAGAAAACAGGTAAAGAGTACTTAGGGCAATGCTATCGATGATTAGAAAAAAGGAGATGGACGAGCAGAAGGTCCTGTTGAGTCACCAAGGTATGCAAAAAAAGACTGAAATATAACTGCAAATAAGAGAAAGAAATAGGACTTCTCCTGCCTGAAGCTGAAAATTAAGTAAGTTTGGTGTAGGGGATAAGGGAGGTCTAAGCACTAGATTTCATGATGGTGTGCATCTCTCTACCTGCCTGATTTCACTGAATTAAAAACCAAAGCGTAATGCCTGGGGAAAGAAACAGGAAAGCAAGCAACAGTAATAACGTGTATTTATGGATACTGATAAAAGATATCCCTTCCTCAGGCAGCCAAATGATTTATTCTTCCAAAACCTGCACCTAGGATCAAAGAGGAAATTAAGGACAAAGGCAGGGAAAAAAGGATGGAAACAGTAATGGGCCTAAAGCAAGTGGAGAATAATCTTGGGAAAAGAACTGACAGGGAACTGGAAGCTGTTCCTGCCCCTGGGCAGAAGGTGGCTGTGTTGGGTTTGTGTGTGGGGGGGAAGCTGTTTTCTTGGTAGTGGGGGAAGGGGCCACCTTATGAGAGCAGAAAACTCAGACCCTCCCCAGGCCAGGCTGGGCCAGTAAGCACCAGTGAAATGCCTCTGTGGATCCATACTGGTGAGGGGAAGGACTGTCCTGAAAAGCAGAAGGTGGAGAGAACCTGGAGGAGAGGCCATTGACCTGAACAAAAGACCACCAGCCTAAACGAAGGACAGACAGACACAGAGAGACCTTCATTGCCAGAAGGAAGGGGAAGGACCCACACCCAGTTCAACTGATGGAGTAGAAGAAGACAAGGGAGGTTCTGAAGCCCATGGAGATTCAATGGCAGAGCA